GATGCTGATAACACAAATAAAGCCATTTTATTTGCTGTCCAAAATAAGCAGTGAACCTCCAAGAGTTTTTATATGTAATTTTAATTGCAGTATTTATAAATCTGAAAAAAAAATCTCATTGAGTAGTGTTTTGCTTCATAATGTGATATGTAAATATATATAAATATAAATGTTTATATGGCATTTATTGCTAATTTTAGTGTTAAATTTCTGTTTATTCGCTGAGTTTAACATATCAGGGAACAAATAAACATAAAATATAACATAAAACCTTTGCACAAGTTGAATTTTATGTTACATTTTATATTTCTCCCCCCTAGTATGTTAAATTCAACAGATAAGCAGTATTGTGCATTATAATGTGCAGGAGTGTGTTCTCTGTAGAGGATGTGTTCAATTATTTAAACTTAGAAGATCAACAAAATGTAATTTGACCAGGGGTGCCCAAACTTGTGCATATGACTGAAACTCTCCACGGGAATGTATTTGTAAGCATGTCATGTAATAACTTTCTGTGTGGAAGCTTTTAGAGGCATTCAGACGTCTGGTTCCTATCACCACCATTGTAAACAATTCTGACTCGCTAGAACAGAGCATTTCATATAAAACCTGAATGACTTTACATCTTAACTGTTAAATTGTGCTGAGGTTCTTTTAAAAATCAGCAGAATTCCCCTTTAAAACAATGATATCATTTCAGTATCTGACCTCAGTTTTCTTCCTGGATGTGAAAATGTGGAAAGGCTCAGTGAAGCAGCCTGACATACCAAGTCATTATGACTCTCTAATTAAATGGCTATTAGTCATAACACTCTAACACACTAATGAAAAGCTTTTTACAGCAAGGGCAAATTATGGAGATGAAAGTATGAGTCTTGAAGTTACTCTTGTTTAAATGTGCTGACGACTGATTGAAGCCTTGAGATTCCATCCATACTGAAGGACTAGGAGTAAAAATACAACTGAGTCAAGGCCCGTTTGGAAATGACAGATTTGTGGTTGAAGCTACAGATGAGTGACATACTGAACGAAAAACCTGAGAAACATGACAAGTGTGGAAGCTTCCTTCACCATATTCCACTCCACAAGAGGGATGTGTGATGTACACCAAGATAACACTACGGGCCAAACGAGCTGTCCCCTACTGTGAGTGGGTCTGGCGACTCTGTTATGCTGTGAGGGGCTTTTTTCTCTCATGCTTTGGGTCCACTTGGCCCCTGTAGAGGGAAGGCTTACTGCGTATCAATACAATTTCTATAAACATCAATAAACATTTCTATCCTGATTCCATCCACAGGGCACAAGTGGTCACTGAATGGTTTGATGTGTATGAAAATGATGTAAATAATACGCTATGGCCTCCACATCTCAACCCATTTGAACACCTATGGGAGATTCTGAACTGATATGTTTTAGCGCTTTCCACCACCATCATCAAAACAACAATTTAGAGAACGTCTTTTGGATGAATGATGTTCTGTCCCTGCAGCACAGTTCCAGAGACTTCTAGAAACTATGCCAAGGTGCACTGAAGCTGGTTTGGCAGCTTGTGGTGGCCCAACACAATTTATGTTTTTTTATGGTTTTTCTTTCATTTGTTTCCCCTTCATTTGTTACCCGTCTCTTCTTCAGGAGTTGATAAATGCTGGCATGGTAATGTGTTCAAAGCAGCCAATGCTAGCCTGACTCTAAGTCAGACTCATCCAAAAGCTTATAGATATATTGTGCTTTTTGTACTTAGGGAGTGCCGTGCTATTTACACTTAGACCACATTAACACCTGGTCATTTCACGTCACTTAACCACATGCATGCATTAACCACTTGGTCGTCAAATGTATCTTAACCTTAGTCATTGCTGTCATGGACGAAGTGTGTTATGCTGCAACATATTTGGAGGAGTTTTAGTGCACAACCTCAGGGCCTTAAAAGCAGACCTAATGACCTAATGAATACATGTCTGTCATTTTTAGCTCATTTAATAGGCTCATCATCATTAGATTTAAACTTGTAGTAGCACTTGTATTTGTTGTAGTGGCACGTGTATTTTTTGCTACATGTAGTTGGAAACAAAAGGGTTAAAATGTTGAAATGCCAAAAGGAATATAATACAATAAGCTTTTTTCACCATGGAATCTACAAAGACAGTCACGTAAGCTTTCTCATTGGTTAGAACTTCAGCAGCTTGACTTAAGGCCTCACACATTGGTTTGGAAACTGGAAAATACCAAATTTTAGACTTGTAAATAGCACACAAACAGCCACCAAAGCTGTATTTACAAGTGGGAACCCAAGATTCTAGATGTTTCACAATAATTCCCAGATATATAATGTGAGCTTTCACTTTTTCTGCTGAAGAAAATGAGCGAACTTAATGGTGAATGTAAAAAAAATATAATCTGATGCTTTTATGCTTCTGTGTGCTTTTTCTAGGTCGTGGGCACATCTTTCAACAAACAAATGGAGTGAACTCTAGTTACTAGTTAACTATAATAAGTACCAGCATAATTAGGAAGTGACAGTGGAATCAACCAATCATGTTTTGATACTTAAGATCCATGAAACAACCCGATGTAAATGGGGTCAGAGTTTCAGATGTAGCTGTAGAGGCAACCGACATGACATGGCACAGCAGAGAAAAACACAGATTAGCCAGGCTGCTTCTGTAGGCAATCTGCAGATTAAGACATAGAATCAGCAAGAGCTGAATCTGAGATTAACCTGCCAACGTTACAAATACACACAGACTAAACTGATCCAAAACCAGCAGGAACTTTAAACTCCCTCCAGCGCCAGCAAGACCACAGCTAAAGACTACAGCTTTGGGGCTGCTTTAACGAGATCCAAATGGAGGAGTTCTCCTGGGCCCTGCGGACACTCTCTCACTGTGACCTACTCAAAGCCCTCTGCTTAAATGTTTATACAGTAATAACATCAGTGTTGAATTAACTCCAGTCAGTCAGCTATGAGTGGTTTTCTTTGCCCAGAGCTGGCCATTAGAGATGGTAAAATGGCTTTAATAGCAGATACAAGACTTCTTTGACCTCCATCTACTGGTCTTGGCTGTATTAGTGACTAATATTGACATCGACAATAGTCTAGCGTATCGCGTAGTGTTCACTTAAAAAAAGTGCTTGAATGAGAAAAGCCAATGCGTGGTTTATTTCTTACCTAATCAGAACTCATCTCCCTTCCCCTATCTCTCTCGCTCTCTCTCTCGCTCTCTCTCTCTCTCTTTCTGTCTGTCTCTGGTAGTGATTATAGTAAGCTGGTTTGGTTTCCTGTTTCTGGCCTGCATAAAAACAGCAGCTCTACGCCAGCTGGGTTTCCGTCCACAAACAGATGGGTGGCCTCTTTTACCTTCACTCCTAATTTCGTCTTCAACGGCAATCAAAATTGATGACTGACTGCGATATCAACATAATTTTAAAGTATTATTTAGCGAAAACTCATATTTGCGCAATTTTACCTTCACCTCAAATGCAGCCAATCAGCCAAGCAGGCCTGGTGCCAGGGGGTCATTTAGTGGGGCAATGCCCCACCAACTAATCATCATGTCCTGCTAAACCCACTATTCTGTACATGCTTCTATAGCGGCGAATGGCAAAAAGCACTGAAAGTGAAATTAAACTTAATGTGCACAGTTGCACTGCTAGGCTACATGGATTAGCATAGCGTTTGCATGCCTCACTTTGTCTTGGCTGCATTTTAGGGATGATGTTGCTGTAAATGTGGCTCTGCTGTCTATTCTCTCCTAAATGTGTGGCTCCTCGCTCGCACTTTTCATTAGCTGTTTAACCACCCCGTACCGTGGTTTTTCAGATGCTCCACTCATCATTTAGTTCTGGCGCCAGGCCTGCAGCCAAGATGTTTGGTGTCTGAAGTTTGCTTCTTTAGTTTTAGCACTGCAACTATGAGGCTAACGTAATAAGTAATGGAAGCCCATACCTCATATTATACTAACTCACTTGCCACATCACGTAATCTCAGATAGACTTGCTTATCTTGCGCAAATTTGATTTTTTTGGCTAAATAATTGTTTTAAGTGCATTCTAGGCCCATTTAAAGTGATGGTCGTCCTTCTAACACTTTAGTTTTGTTTAGTTATGATAGTGCAGTCCAAATAGAGTTAAGCACATCATGCTTTTCTTTTAACCAAGACAAGCATTGTTGTTGGGGAATGAGTATTTTAGACTTATCCACAAATCATGAAAAGATATATAATATACAATGCAAAAATAGTATATTGTCAACTAAATTTATCTTAAATCTTGTCAATAAATCAAATATTTCTCCTATTCAGATTGTTGTAAGCTTTAAGATTATGCAACTTATTTCTAGACATTTTCTACTTATTTTGAGTCATTTTATTAGATAAATTTATCTTACTATGTTAGCAAATAATGTGCTTTAACCCAAAATTATCTGCCACATAAATTTAATTGATAATTGATGAAATTACCCAAAACAAGTAAATAATGTCTAGAAATAGACTAGATAATCTTATAACAGGTGCACAACCATCAAAACCAACAAAAATAGGAAATATAAGGTAGATTGACTAGATTTAAAATAATTTCACTTAACAAGATACAATTTTTGCAGTGTATTAGTGAGGGTAGCATGATGGAAATAAAGTGATGCCTTGAATTTAACTGACTTGATTCACAAGTGTTTCATTTCCACATGAATAAAACATATTACATGAAGACAGTTACTGCCAGAGCCCTGTGACATAACACTGACATATGGCAGATGTCATATGCTGTTATGAATTGTCATGACAGATTTTACTCAGTAATATAACGGTGTCATGTTCTTACTACTCATAATTATCATGACAGATCATTTTTGCTAAGTAGGCTCTGGTCAGCCATCATGACATCAAACATTATGTCTTTTATTTACATGGAAATTATGCACTTCTGAATTTTAGTGCATTACTATTTTCAGGGTAGTTTGATTGCCGCTGCGCTCTCAGGGGGTTTTACCAGGGCTGGTTTTAAGCCATTAATCATAATTAAGTGCAAAATTGTGTTGAATCTCACAGCATGTTAACACATGGGGCATTTATAAATTTTTCATTTTTTCACAAGGTGACATAGTATTGGGCCAACTAAATATGTCACAGGGCCAGCCAGCAGGGCTAGGTCAGTTTGTGGTTCTCGGCTGAGTTCTGTCACTCCTGTCATTATGAAATTGCTGTTAATGGCAGTGAGGGGGCCCTTCCAGCTGGCATCACCAACAAAATTATGCTCTTGCTCAAACTGGGCTGCTTCCAGACACAGCAAATGTGGTGGTCAAGTACTCAAGTCTGGAATATTTTCCAGTGACCCTCCCTGTGAGGGAGGTAAAAACAGACCCCATCTGGTTCACCAGTACTGAGGAACAGTCTAAAAGACAGTACAGAAGAGATAATGCATGGGTTCCATTTCCCAAGAGTTGGACTTGTATAAAATGTTGTGCTTTGTTCTGTACATTTCCTAAGTTTTACTCCTTGATAAGTTAGCAAGGCTGCTCTGCAGCCAACCAATTCTATATAACACAGCTATAAAACTTATTCTAGCCTTCTGAGGCAACTCACCAAACTGAATTTTACATAACAAGAGGTTGCAGGTCAAAGGTACGACAACAGCGCACCCATACCAATTCTTGACAAGTCAACCCTGTTCAGCACCAATATGTTCATAAAATTCTGTCATTATGGCTAAATGTACGTAATGAAAGACCTAGCATGGTATTGTTTGCGTCTTCTCCAGAGAACACCATCCACACATCTTCCCTGAGAGAACCTGAAAGAAACCTTAATCCACTTTGGACATTTGGAAATCAATTTGTTTGAGGCCGTTTCTAAACCGTTGGAGCCACCAGGTAGCCGTTGAAGGTGATGTAGATGTCCACGTCGTCGCTGTAGATGGCATTCTCACGCTCGCGCTTGTAGAGGCGCACCCACACCTCGTCGTTGAGCTCCAGGTTCAGCATGACGCTCTGGCTCTGCATGATGGAACGGTCGCTGGGCTGGGCGTACAGGATCACCTGCTCGCGCTCGTTGTGCATCAGGTGCAGGTACGTCTCCTTGAAGTTCCAGGTGTGGATGTTGATGTTGAAAAAGTAGACGCCCGGCACGTAGCAGTAAAACTTGCCCTTGAACATGTTGAAGTGTTCGCCGGTGTTGACGAAGACGGTGTCGAAGAGCATCGCCTGGTAGTAATCCACGCTGTGGAGGGCCTTCCGGCGGCCCACTGAGAAGGCGGAGTGTTGGGTCTTGCAGGGGTCTCCAGGTGCTCCTGCCTGGCCTTTGCTGCCTTTAGGGCCCACAGCCCCTCTGGACCCTGGAGGTCCATCAGCTCCACTCTTTCCAGGAGTACCCCTCTCACCTCGATCTCCTTTATCTCCTGCAAAGGAAGAACAGATGAATGAATTAAGGGATGAAAGAATGTATGGACGGATGGATAAATGAGGTGAAGAATGTGTGAGTGAATTATTGGAAGCATGAGAATATATAGATATCTGTATGGATAGACAGATGGATGGATAGATGGATGGATGGAGGATGAATAAATGATTGAGGAATGAATGTAAGACTATGTAGAATGAATGTAAGACTATGTAGATGGATGAATGGATGGATGGATAAATGGATGGATGGATAGATGAGAGGGAAATAATGTGTGAGTCAATTAATGGAAGCATGAGAAAATGTGGATATATGTATGGATAGTTAGATGTTTAGAGAGATGGATAGATGGATGGAGGATGAATGAATGATTGAAGGAATGAAAGTAAGACTATGGATGGATGGATGGATGGATGGATGGATAAATGAATGTATATGGCTGCATGTATGTAGGATAGATGGATGGATGGATAAATGAATGTATATGGCTGTATGTATGTATGGATAGATGGATGGATGTATGGATAAATGAATGTATATGGCTGTATGTATGTATGGATAGATGGATGGATGGATAAATGAATGTATATGGCTGTATGTATGTATGGATAGATGGATGGACGGATGGATAAATGAATGATTGAAGGAATGAATCTCAGAGAAAGTGGGTGGATCAATGAATGACTAAAGGAATGCATTTAGGGACAGATAGGTGGAAAGATGGATGGATAATGGATGAATAATATATATTTGGCCGCATTTATGTATGGATAGCTGGATGGATGGATGGATGGAAAAATGACTGAATGAAGGAATGAATGAATGTCAGAGCAAGTGAATGGATCAATCAATGATTAAAGGAGTGGACAGAGGGATGGACAGATGGATGGATGATGGATGCGTAGAATATATATGTCTCGATAAATGAATGAATGTAGGAATGAACGTCAAAGAAAGTGGCTGGATGGATGAGTGGATGGATGTATGGATGGATGGATGGATGGATGGAAGTGGATAAATGGAAACAGGTATATGTATGGATAGATGAATGCATGATTGAAGGAATTAATGTGGTAATTGACTGAATGTGGAACTGAGTGAATGGATCAATGGATGATTGGAGACAAGAATGAATGGCTGGATGGGCAATGGATGGATGGATTATTGAAAAAATGAATGTGTGAGTGAAATGATTTATGTATGTATGTATGCATGTAAGTGTGTATGGATAGATAATGCAATGTGATGCATGGATAAGTGGTTGACTGAAGGAATGAAAGAGAGAGTGAGTGAATGAGGGAGTGAGTGAGTGAGTGAGTGAGTGAGTGAGTGAAAAACCACCAGGTTCAGGTCATGCAGTCTGAACACAGCTCAGCTCATACAACTCTAATTAAATAAGAACTAAAACAGGCCTAACTGACTGTGACTGATGGCAACAGAGCAGCATTACGGTCTGTTTCTTCTCAACTGGTACTTCTTTGAACTCAGTGCCCTAATATAGACCTGACCAGAAATCATGAGGCATATATGAGAGTGTACAGTTTGGAGAACAATGAGCTGACTGCAGGATTAGGGCCTCCTCATTTTTACAGGGTTCAGGTTGATCTGTGCTATGTCTAAACAGACTCTGTTATTGTTACCACACTTAGCTGTTCCAGTTAACCCCCCGGACGCTTTAGTTAAGCTCTGAGTAAGCACAGGCTTTCTCAAGAGCAGGTCTGGAAGAAGCCTAGCACGCTCTGGCTGTAATCTCTGAACGCCAGCAAACAGAACACACATGCTGCCGCTTGTAGTTTACTGCCACATAGGCAAGTTTCCTGCCAGATCTGTAGGCCTCTAGAGCCCGCGATTCCCTTTCAGGGTGAATTCTGCTGAACTGCTTCAGTTTCTCTGACTAAGAAAGCAAAGAGAAGACGAATGCTGTGGTCTTCAGGCAGCGGGCTGAGGTTACGGCTAGTGATGTGCAACATTTTCCATTGTGGTGGAGGCCGTTCACATTCTTTATCTGGTTTTCAGAATGTGTGTGTGGGGGGCGGGGCAGGGGGGCAGGGGGGCAGGGGGGTATGTGAGCGTGTTTGTGCGTGTCATATGCGTACGGCTCTGTGTGGCTTGTGTTGATGTTCAATGCATTTGGAAGAGCCAGAGAAAGACACTGTGAATGCATGCCATCTATACAATATAGATGCTACACTGTATAAAAATCTGGACTATGTAAGCACTGTATTGTTGCATATGGGTCAATAATAATAAGGCTTCCAAAATGTTCATTTAAATTAAAGGATGTTATGTGCATTTCTGTATGTTAAAGAATAGGAATAATGTTTAGATATTTGTTTCATATCTTTTATAATGATATACATTCATTTTAGGTAGGACCATCAACTTTACCTTCCAAATAATGTCAGGTGGTGTGACCAAACAAAAAAAAAATGCAGTCTTTTAAAGTTATTTACCATTACTGAAATAAGTAAAACTCAAAGTCTTTGTCTTTTAACTAAAGTGTATACATACTTATTTTTCAAATAAATAAAAGTTATTATAATAATAATAATATATTTCCATGATTTTCCTGGGGTCACACCACATGACTTGGCAAACCAAACATTATCATATTATCCAATATTATATTAACATATTATTATCCAAACATTCAGATTTTTTTCATTGTTTGTGAAAGGGCCACTGCCCTTGGCATTGCACCATGAAGGACCTTTGGAGTCTTCTTTAGGGTGCAAAATCATGCTCGCTCTTTCTTAAAAGCATGTCAGAATAAAAGTCATTTGTTGTCGGTTGTGCCACATGACAATTGAGGAAATTAGACAAAAACAAGTTGAAGATTTTTAAAGCTGCTCTATTAAAGTTTCTGACATAAAATCATCCCAAACTGTTTTATTTCAAATTTTATGTGACTAATAAAGTTACTAGGTAATTAATAATCATAATAATTAATAATAAAGTTACTCAATCTGTATATATAGTTGGACAGTCGCAACATCTGACATTTTGAGACTTTGGGAAGCATAAATGCCTAAAATTAATTGTATTTTGAGGCACTGGAAATGTATTCACATAAAGGAGCCATTGTAGAATATTGTCGTATATATCAAATGTTTATTAAATCATGAAATAAAAAGAAATGTACAATATGTTATTAACCCTTATACAACAACAGAATTATTGTGATGAGTGAGAGTTCACTGGTAGTGTATGAGAGAAAGACAGAAAGAGTGATAGAACATATGAAAGTGGCTATGACTAAAAGAGTGAGGGGGCGTGTTTTTGGTGAAGTGTTTGGGGTTGTCTCTGTGGTACGCCTGACGCGGAACCCCTCTATTCCTCTCTGATCAAAGAGCCCACAAGAAACAATAAATGACACATGGCCTGGACTCTTCTGAGCTCTAATTAGACACAATCACAGTGCTGAAAAGTTTCTCTGATCGTGTGCTGTTGGGAAAGTACTTTTAACATATATCATCATCTAGATGGGTTTAGAAAGCAATTAGAATGTGTCTGTTTTGAGGATGAGATGGAACAAACCATATTAATACAAAAACATGAACGAAGTGGGTTGTTTAAGTTATAAGCTGAAAATTTGTCAACATGAAGAGCAATTTATGTTAATGAATGTTTTATGTGTATCTGACTCTACCCTGTTTGACTGAATGTAAATTGAATGTTGCAGAATTAAATTAATACAGGGGTTATAGATATAGTATATAAAACATAGCAAAGGTTAAGACCATAACAATACAAAATAATATATCAGGACTGTTACCGTTATCATACTATGATCAGTGTATGAAAAGCCATATGCACATGTTCTCTATGTCTTTACATACTGATAAAGTATATCCGGCATACACTAACTGTATGAATGAATACAGGATATAAGTGTGAGAGGATTAAATTGGTCATGGTGGTTTAAAAAAATGGCAGAACAAAACCTTGTTTCTCCAAAACGTAACTGCAACAAAAGTTAACGTAACAAGATATCAGTCATTTTGGACCATTTCTATTGGTCCACTGGTCATGACATTTCAGCACACAGACACGGCAACTGGCAAGATTTTTGTTCTGACAGAGACAATGTATATATACACACATGATATATATATATATATATATATATATATATAGATAGATAGATAGATATAGATATAGATATATATATCATGTGTGTATATATACATTGTCTCTGTCAGAACAAAAATCTTGCCAGCTGCCGTGTCCACTGTGCTGAAATGTCAATGTGTTTTTGGGTAGGATGGCCCCCCATCCCATCTCCCCCAATGACTCAGCGTGATGCCAGCCAGTGCAGACATCTGTGAGGTGACATAACAGAACTGCCGATTAGCAATCTCCTCCAAATATGTTCAGCTGTCCAATGACGTTATGTTATCAGCAGTTCTCACAGGACTCGGAGGAAGCCTGTGCTAGTCTTCACCCTCCTAGCGCTGGTGCTATCATGTGATTGGGGGATTCCTAACTATTGGGTGTTATTGGACACGTCTGAAATGGGGAGAAAATTGGGAAAAAATCCAAAAAAGCAACAAACTAGACAGAGGAAGGTGATTGAGGGTCTACTGTGCGTTTATTTTAATTTGTAACAACTAAAACATCCCTGGCTCAGGCTAATGTTAGCATGGTTTGCACTGTTTGTTGCATCACGCTATCTACGTTGTGATATACCGGTATAATGGTAATGACAAAACTCACACTGTTTATTTGCTGAATTTGGCCTGTGCAAAAGTTGTGGCACACTTCATTTTTATTTGCAATATGTTAAAAAATGTCATATTTAAATTCAGATTAGAAAAATCACCAAGACGTGTAATTTGACCAGGATTGTTTCGAGCTTTTGCATAGTTATCACTATTGTCTTGAATAAAAACTAAAATATATTGTAATATATTTTGAATATATGACTTTTTTGTCCGGCTTACCTTTGAGAATGGTCATGTTAATGAAGGTGCGAACCTCTGGCGCCTGATAGGTCACAGGGCGGGAGGAGGGGCTGAGGGGCGGCTCCAGGTGATCACAGCACCTGCGGCAGTATTTAGGTGGCAACCTGGAGGGGGAGGGGACAGAGGCCACCAGGGGGAGGAGCAACAGCACAGGCAGAAAGAATCCAGACATGACCACACCTGGAGAGAGAGATAGAGAGATAAAGAGACAGAAAGAGTAGAGAGCAGAGAGAGAGAGAGAGAGAACACAGAGAACAGGAGGGGGGGGGGTTGAGTTCATTTTCCATGAGGTAGTGAGGGAAAGTAATGAACTCTCTGTTGATAGTAGCTGCTCTCTGTGTTGGTAGAGCCTCAGGCTAATTGCAGCAGATGCGCGGCTAATATGTATTCATTAGGAATGGCCCATTGCAAATAAATCAGGCTATATCCAATAACAGCTTTAAACTGCAAGTCCTCTGGACCTCCGCGAGACAGCAAGAGCAAATTACAGCACTGAAGGAGGTAAAGCATTCAATACTGAATCTGTTGTCTTGTTATCCACTCACTAACTCTGTCCGCTAATGAAGAGACACTTTAGCTTTGCATTTGGACACAACGTAAGCTGAGGCTACTGGTGGATCTGTGTAACATCGGAGTAATCACAGGTGATAAAGATATGGAGTGCGTTCATATAAATTATTTCTCACTCGTAGCTCAGAGAAAGTGATTACGTTGCAACAGAAATATTTCATGATTCTGAAGAAGATTCGGTTAAATTAGTGACCAAATTATGCAGACAAATCTGGAAAATGGCCCAAAGGCCAGCAGACTGGAAGTTGGTTTATATCCCAATTCCAAAGAAAGGAGACAAGAAAGAGTGTAAACTATTGCACGATTTCCCTAAAATCATACAGCAGTGAGATTACGCTCAAGATCATTCAACGTAGATTAGAACATTACATTGAAAGAGAACTGCCAGATGTGCAAGCTGGATTTAGGAAAGGCGAGGAACAAGGGATATCACTGCAGCCAAGGAGATCAAGAAGGACATCAGCATGTGTTTCACTGACTACAGGAAAGCCTTAGACTGTGTTGACCATGTAAAATAATGCAAAGTCCTCAGGAAAATGGGAATACCAGAGCATCTCATCAGGACAGAAAATAAACAGTCTGGTTCCACTTCGGCAAAGGATTCAAACTGTATGCAGGACATATGTTGAGAGAAGCAGGACTGGAGGAAGATGCTCAGAATTCAGAATTGGTGGAAGAAACCTCAATAACCTTATATGATATGCAGATGATACAGCACTCACAGCGGAGAATCTGGAAGACCTAAGGACCCTTATAAGGAAGGTTAAAGAACAGATGGAACTTCAGCTCAGTATGAAGAACACTAAGGTTACAATGACAGGAAAGGCCGCTAACTTTACCATCAAAAGACAAGATGTGGAAATCTCTTAGCCTTTCTCTACACCGTCAATTTTCAACTACAAAAGACCCAGCACTCAAGAGATAGGATACAAACTGACACTCAGCAGAAAAACGATGAAGGAGCTTGAAAAGCAAATGCAATGATTTGTCTCTACAAACAGAGATCAGAATTGTCCAGGCTGTGGTCTTCTCTGTGGTTCTTTATGGATGAGAAAGCTGGACAATAAACAAGCAAGACAGGAAAATATGGAGGCCATTGAACTTTGGTTTTCAAAGAAAAAAAACATGAATGGATTATGCAAATGAAGCTTCACCTTTCACTCAAAGTCCAGATTACCAAACTGAAACTCCAAGTCCATAATGCTTGGAGGAGTTGAAGGTAAAAGAGAAAGAGAATGACCAGATACAATAGATACAATCAGAGAAATCATGTACCAGTCATTAGAAGCCTAAAGACCCAAACAGAAGACACCATCCATATGATTGCTGGGAGTTGTCATGATAGGTTGTCATATGTCATAAAGGAGCCCTTATATATATATATATATATAATTTACTTACCTATATATGTATATGGGCATAATTGACTTTGAAAAAAATCTTGTTACTTTATCTTCCATTCCAAGTTACTATTTTGGAGATAAAAGTTTTGTTCCGACAGCCACGATACATAAGTTATATACGAACATCATGAATTGTGTATGTAGCTGTCATGTAACCTTATGAACGCTGCCTTGCAGTAAAGTGTCACCCATTTTTGTCATGTTTTTGTCATTTTTTCACACTGAAACAAGTCTGCTGAAAAGTGCAGACACAAAACTGTTGATGCAGAAAACAAATCAAATGTTAAATTTATTCATTATGTAACTTGCTGTGTAATTAATAAAATAATTGCTACACTGTGCAAAGAAAAACACATTTCCTCACTTTTTTTTAATGTAGTACATTCACTCATATGCAGTGCAATGTTTTCAACACCCTCAGCACCCAGACCATTCTGCCCCCATACGAAAACTAAGCTGAAAAGTGGCCTGTTTTGAATTTGTTGTTTTTGTGATGTCACAAAAACAAATGCGTTTCCATATGTCCCCCCATCCACATTGACCTTGTAAATCAAATCAAATCAAATCAAATCAGATTTATTGTCACATCACAAGAGTACAGGGACACAGGTGAGTGAAAAACTTGAGTGCGAGTTCCACAAATTATGCAGAGAACAGTATTTACACATAGATAAACAAAACTATAGATAGGATAGAAGAATAGATAAAACCAATTTAACTAAAATATATACATATAATCTTACACAATAACTTAAAAATAATAAGGAGTGTTTCAGACAGAACTCTTTTTTGGCTGTTTCAGGGTCAGAACAGAGCTTCTTTACAGATATCAGTCTTAAAGGCACAGTAACAAAAACAGCCTTATTTCATAATGGATAAAAAGGGGTTAAAAATATTCATGTAATAATTCAATTGTTACATAATACTGGACCTTTGGGAACAATACAGTTAGAGGAACACAGGTTTGGTTAACTCCTATGTGCACGAATGTGTTCAATTCTATCAGCAGCACCTGATTTAATTTAATGAAGGAGTGAGTAGATAAACTAGATGCTGGTAACTGTAAAAACTTTATTCATGTATTTATTTATTTATTGCTTATTTATTTGTATTCATTCTGTTTAGTTATAATGTTAAGGTTTGTTTTTTTTTTACTAAATATATGCTAACTGACCAGATAAATGACTTTACATAGAAATTTCATTTCATTTAACATTTTCTTAAGTGTGCAATAATGTATTTTAATCACATAATATAAATGAAATACATAGCAAAGTGACCATATAAACTCTGGACTTAATCATAAATCTAATCATAACTTGCATCCTAACCTGCATGTAATACAAAGCTTAATAACAATACTCTTTCTTCTAAAAAGCCAAATACTACAAACTCTACATTTGTGCATAAGTAAAATAATTTCAGGTTCAATTTAAGGTAGACCTTGGACCAAGCTGATCTGAACAAGGTTACTGTATGCAAAATTCAAGCCTACCTTAAACTGTTTTTACACTCGACCCTGTCCAGGTGCCTGACAGAGACGAATGACACCACAAGCAGGAAATACTAGTATTTGTATAATGACTTCATTCAATTTGGCAGCAAATCTGCCATAAATCATGCGTTTTCTCTGGAGCCCAAACCCCAAAGTGGCCCCCATAGGGCAGCTGGTCAGCACTGGTGATTTGAGGAAGACCAGAGCCAGAGAAAAACTGTGACTGTAATGTCTTTTGACAAGTCGGGAAATGGAGGTCAAACTTTTGCTGACTACAATCAACAAACGAGGCGAGGCGGGTATAAGGAGTGAAAGAGAGAGGCAAAGAGAGAGAGACGGGGGGTGGGGGGGGGTTACAGAGAAAATAAGACAGAAAATGGAAGAGTTACAGAGAGAGCGAGAGAAAGAGAGAAAATGAAGGTGAGATGGGTTAAAGAGAGAGAGAAAGAAACCCACCCTCCAAACCCCGACTCCACTGACCCCCAACATTACACAACAAAATTTACAAAATTACAAAAAACTATGACTACATCATTAATTTATTAATTAGTGCAATTACATTAATAATGATAGTGATATATTGTAATCATAATAACTACATGGTTATTATTCATTTTAGCTTTTGTTGTCTTATTTTGTTGTCCATTGCTAATGTTGTTCATTGCTAATGTTCTGAAGCTTTAGCAATACTGTACTTCACAGTCATGACAATAAAGCCATTCTGAATTGAACTGAAAATTAAACTGAGAGACAAAGGAGAGACCGAAGTGATGAGAATGATCCACCACCCAAATAATAGCTCTGAGGTGGTCCTGTGGGGGTCCTGACCATTGAAGAAAAGGGGAAAAGGGGGGTTAATGACGTTCGCAGGGAAACAGATGGACTACATTCTGTAAACTGTAGAAAAGTGCACCTAAAGGGTAAGTGGAGCTGACAACATTAATAATAAATATTATGTGAACAAAAGTACAGACAGGATTCAGGCTGCAAGATAATTGCTACTGGTTTTAGATATGCAACATATTTTTGTCCATTTTTATAGAAAACTGTATGTCATACAGTACCAGAAACCACACTGACAACTCAAGTTAGCAAGTGAGTGATTGAGTATGTATTAGTTTGCATGATGCTAACTGATCGCTTTAAGCTTCACTTTCTTAGCTACATTACCCTCGTAGCTCCAGACAAACCTTTTTGGCGTTAGGTTAGCTTTACACAGTGAAAGTTCCATGCAACTAGTTGTATGTTGTGAGTCGCCTGCAACATAATTTCCATGAAACCTGACTGTTGCACAAAGCAATTCAAAAACAAAATAAAAAACTACCAATCTTGACTCAACTACCCAATAAACCAGTTTCTGTTATATTTTCTGAATTGATGAGTTATCAGCGTTTAATCGGCTATTCAATGAAACTTGCTTCATGAACTTGAGCTGCTTGTAACTGTTGCAGCTGAGTTGCAGGATGCTTTACATTATCCAGTTCAAGTGAAATTTAGTTTAATGTAGAATGTAGTTTTCAAGCAACTGAAGTTGCTTGAAAGTTCCACCCTGTAAAGCCAGCCTAAAGAAGCTTTCCTACTGATTGACACTGACCGCAGTAGGCTCCCTGCAGTGTTTACACTGTGTGCCAACACCATAATTGGCATTATGTCCTCTGGCATTAGATCAGAGTAAATTCTGATGCTTCTACACCTTCATTCTGCTTTGCATGCCAGCATCAGTATTAAAGTGTGATTAGTCTGTATCAAACATGTCAGAGTGTGTAAAGGTGGATCCCCGCTGGTCCTCCTCAGTAGCCAAACACACACTGTTATAGATTTGGATAATTATATGATGAATCGATGATTCTGAGAGGATAAATATACGGTAGTGTTAAATGTTTGCCTACAGTGTGTTCTCAAGACCAGCATAACCTTGCATATATCAATTTAAATCCAGTTATTTACAGTGAAACCTGTCCTCAAGGCACCTTGGAGGTGTGTGTCACAGCTGTAATCTCTTAATGCAGGAGTGTCAGACTCCACCCCAGCATTTACTGCTTTCCTGTTTTAAAGTAATGGTTTGGCCACAAATCAAATATACACAATGGCCCCCTTACCCCAAATGCTGTTGATTAGCCAAGATGCGTTTAGTGGCTGAAGATGGCCTCAATCATCACAGAGTTGCCTCAAACCACACTGAGCTGTTAGATATTCTCAAATAGACTTGATATGGTTTATGCTTGATATGGTTTTTGACACTATCCTCTACTGTAATATGTATATGAAAAATTGGAGTATTGTGTTTGTATATATATATATATATATATATATATATATATATGAGTGATGTTCATTTATTTGATGTATAGACTTGAGTAGAGACTAATGTTTGTTTATTTGAAGTTTGTTATGACACCTTTAGAGGGCAGCACTGAGTAATGTTTGTTTATTTGATGTTTGTTAATGACACCTTTAGAGGGCAGCACTGAGTAATGTTTGTTTATTTGATGTTTGTTAATAACACCTTTAGAGGGCAGCACTGAGTAATGTTGATTGTGGTTAGTGAGTGTAAAAGTGTTGTGACAAACGCATTTATATCATTTGTGCCATGTCATTCTGTCTTCTTTCAAAAAAGATGTGGTCAACCAAAGAGTAAATGCAGTGCACGGTTTTTAAACCATCATTCAATAAATGTCAAACCGCCCATCTAACAATTGCTAGACGTTACACAGTGCTGCAAACTCAGAGAGAGGAGACAGTTAGCATTAGTTTAGCTAGCATGATAACATCTCTGTTCACCACTGAACATGTCTGATTCTGGCTTACTAAAGCACTGACACAAGTTTAGATGATGATTCAAATCTGAGGGAGTGCAGTTGAGCAACTGGCACTGGAAGTTTGTATGTGGTGTTTGGTTGTGGTGTTTAACATTAGCCTAGCGAGCAGGCTACAGACCCAAACACACCACAGGTTTGATTTCGACTAACTGCTGCACTGCTGAAACAAAAGTAGATGATAAAAACTCATGTCTAAGAGAGGAAAAGTCGAGTGACTGTTGTTGGAGTGACAGAAAGCCAAAATCGGACTGAAAATCTGTTCTGTGGTGTTTGGGCCTAGTGTTTGTCAGCTTGGCTAAGCTAATGATGGCTTAGTTATCACACAGACATGAACAACAGCACAGCACAAGCTTGGTTCCAGCTAACTGATGCTGAAACGACACCAGTTTAGTGGTTATCGGTGAGAGCAAAGTCGAGTGACTGATATAAGAGTGAAATTGAACGTGTTCTGTGGTGTTTAGCGCTTAGCCATTGCTGAGCTACTGTTACTGTTAGTTTTTCCTGGCTCTGATTTTTCCTTCCATTTTTCCTAAATCTGTTTATTTGGTGGTTCAGATGTGGAATAGAAATTTGACATGTCATAATTTTGACATACCGTCATCATTTTGAAATACCGCCATCATTTTGGTATTTCAAATACCCTGTTACCAATATACCACCCAACCCTATGTAGCAGCCATCATGGAGCCTGAATATTGTCTGCACTTTCTACATTTATATGAATAACAGTTCAAAACCTCAGCTCACCAAGCATATCTTGGCTGAACAACTACCTTTGGGATAAGCGGGATAAGTGTCATTTCTGTGGAAAAGCTTCATTTTAATAAAAACAGCTCACCAGATATGACCAAACCAGAGACTTTCCAGAGCCTCAGTTTGTCCTAATTTATGGAACATCAAAACACTCAACACATACCGAAGCATAAAGGGACAAGAGTACATCATTATGATGTTCCACAGTAATGGACCTGCCTTATTACTTAAGAGCATTTTCAGATTTCCTCTTGAAAAGCCCAGCGGAAAACTGTCAGGGATTGTTACAGACATGTATGGCCCTCTTTCCACATATGTTACTGTATTCTAAGAACATTCTTGAACATGTGTACACCTTTGGAAACCTCCAAAAACGTGTGACAGAGGAAGAGAGAGGGGAAATCTGTTGTTTAACCGAGTTACAGGAATGTTAAACAGAGTCTTGGGGAAGCAGTCACATCCCCATTTTTCATGAGTGGCAGTTTTCTGGGTTCCTTTAGATGATTAAACATGCTGTCGGGCTCTTTTCCTTTTTTTCCTACCCCGCTGCTTGTCTTACGTTGGTAATCTTTAATGACACAATGAATGAGACTGAGGTTTATTTGCAGCATCTTCCTCTTGCACGCTCCATATTTCCACTACCATCTCCACCCACCCATCTTTCTGTCCCTCCATTCATTTTTCTGTTTATTTCACTGCCGAATAAATTCTTATGATTTATTCCCATCAATAAAAACGTCCAATACACTTAGTAACACCCCACCAATCATTTTAAATAGTCTGACGCTGAGTGCCCGGCCTTTTTTGGGACATGTCTTTCAATGTGCAGCACTGAAACAAATGTGTTAGAACCTCTCCAGAGGCTCTTACTCTGCACTCCTATAAATAAAGGTTCCTAAATGGTTCTTGGCCTGGATGTACAGTGCTGTGCAAAAGTATATTATTTATGTAACGTCCAGTCAAAACAGCCATTTAAGTACAAGTTACGTTTTTCAGAGTCAAGAAAACACGTATTAAACAAAAGCTAGCTAAATACGTTTTGTCCACTCTTTGGCTTTCTTACCGCCTCCATTTTTTTCAGGAGACTTGTGGATATTTTTCTCACCTCCCTTTCCCACCATTGCTCAGTGCTAGGGTGGTCAAAAAAATTCGACATTTGTATATCTGTCAAATTAAAAGGAAAAGTGTCCATTTGAATGCAAAATGTCCATTTGAATGTTTAAACCCTTTGTTGCAGCTCCTACTACTACTGTTCTCGGCCAGTTAGTTACTAACATTATCACAAATGATGACCACCTAATGGAGGAAAGAACAAGCCATCACTGACCATAAACAAACAAAACACTTATTTATTTTGGCTTTAATTAAGATTTGTATGGGACTTTACATACATTGAGGATATTTGCAAACATCCGGCAGGTTTTCAGCAGCTCAGCCATTCTGAATGAGGCAATATTTTGCTTCACTGTTTCCACTATATATATTTTGCCACCGCTGCTTCATGAAGTCACAACTACAAAACTCGGCAGAGGGCTTTTAATTTGAAACGACACATACAAGAAGTGGAGACAAGCGGCAACACCCACCCATGAGAGGAAGAGAAAAATAAGAAAGACAGAGAGAGGAGAGACTGAAGTAACATAGGTTAAACTAGCTAAAGTTAAGCTAGATAGATTTCATTCGTAATGTAACATTATTGTCTGTTGATGTTGACGGTCAGCTAATTGATAATGGTCCAGCTAACCTAACTTTAATGTTAGCGAACTCAGTTATTGGGTGGAATAACTGAATAACGCTAACCAACAGAAATATGTCCTTGTGTTAAGTAAATGAATGACTGAATGATCTGTTTCAGACAGCAGACGATTCTGATGCCAATGCAGGCGTCTGTTAGCTGATGTTAAGGAATATGCAGTTAGTGTTCTCCTCCAAGCGTGTTGAGCTGTTCAACAACATTGTGTTAGGAGCAGTTTGATAACATGTGGCAACATTTGTTGCATCTTGGTGGAAGCACGTAGCAGCCTTCACACTCCCAGCTTGGTAGCACGGTGTAACAGAGGGAGGCCTACTAGCAAGTGTAATTGGACATAACTAAACTGGGCAAAAAATTAAATAATAAATAATAAAGAACATTTCATCATACTTGCACGTCTAACTTCGTCAGTCCATTGAAAGGTTCTTAAAGAGTTTCCTTTTTTTTTAACAGTATTGCTCCACAGAACCCTTCTTTTTAAGAGTGTAGTTCTCATATAAACAAGGCAAGCAGTTACTGCTTCAGTAGACTCTGTTCCAAACCTCATGAAACCCACCAGAGATTGTTCAGTGTTTCCCCTCTGAGCCTGCAGAGGGCGATTAATTGAAGGGTAAGGACTGTGAAGCCCAAGTTCTTTCCAAATCCAGATGTTTTAATTCGAGCGAGAGGAGAAAAAGAGCCACGTCCTCACCGGAAGTAGAAAATAATTGCTCTAAAACTGGAGGCTACAGGCAGATGTTACATTACACATGAAATCTCACTAACACACAGCTCCCAGCACAGCAGATAAGCTGAACCCCCCTGGGGGTCTGAACGGAGAGAGAGAGAGAGAGAGAGAGAGAGAGAGAGAGAGACTAATATGCAGAACTATTGGTCTGAATGCCAATCACAAACTGCAATTTACAATTAGTTTGTTTGCTGACGTGTCTCGCACGTGCGTAACTTTTCGCGCGCGTTGCAAGAAAAAACATAAGTGAGAATTCTAACGCAGTGATACGGAGCGATAATAATGGATGAGAACTGATTAATATGATTTGATAAAGTATTTCTGAAATCCTCACTTACCACCGTGTCCTCATGCAGCCGGTCCAACTGCTGACTTCGTGTGTCGATCAGCTGCGAAGTGAGAGCGACTCTCTCTCTCTAACTCTCTCTCTCTGTATGAGTTTGTTTCTCTCTCTCTCTCTCTCTCTCTCTCTCTCTCTCTCTGTCTCTGTATATGGGCTTCTTTCTCTCTCTCTCACTTTTCTCTCTCTCTCTCTCTCTCTCTCTCTCTCTCTCTCTCTCTCTCTCTGTTTTTCTCTCTCACTCTGCTCTCTTGCCCTCTGCTCTTTCCCCTCTCTCCGTCTCACTCATTCTATTTCTCACTCTCTCTCTTTGTTCTCTCTCTCTTCTTTCTCTCTCTCACTCTCTTTCTCTCTTTGTTCCTTCTTTGTTGCTCTCTCTCTCTTTGCTCTGCCTCTGCTTCTCCTCTCTCTCTCTCTCTCTCTTAGTTTTTTTCCTTGGAGGGGTTCCCTTCTGAGCAGTGAACATAATTTTTTTCCCCCTCTCTCCTCCTCTTCTTCTTTCCTACACTGCAATTCATCCTCCCTCTTTTTCTCGCTCCTTCACGCCCCCTCATTCCCTGAGGACATCTTACCTTTAAGTGTCTTTCTGCTGGATGCTGTCTTAAACTGATCATTCATCATTCGCTGTACTGTGCTGATTTGACACCTTCTTTAATCTGGAATGAACCTAATCTCCAGAAAACCCAGTGAAGTCCTGCACTGTAATGGGTGTATTGTGTATATTGTGTATATGTGTATATATTTAGTGTCTAACTTCTGCATAAATATGACCTAAAACTTCATCAGATTTTCACAATAGTAGGTGAACCAAAGAAAACGAATGAGACAAATTGGTCATTTATTTCTTGAGGAAAATGATCCTGCGTTTTGGTTTATATTATATGTTTTAGCCTGTATTAGTACATTAGCAAATACTGAGACATATTTACAGACAAGATGGTAAAGTGGACATAAAATGATGTGGCTCCCAAGGTGGTTTGATTTTTGCTGAAAGGACAAAATGACTTTTCTTAACATTTGGGTTGTGACCCCTATACTAGACCAAAATGCTGTAGTATAAGTGTACATGACTCATTGTGCTATACAGCCAGCTGCCTTTCAATGTAGCACTTTGATTCAAGTTATTTAAATAAGCAACTGATTTTTTGTTTAAACATTTACAATGCTAGTTTGACCCATTGGCAAATAAAGTTTGACAAATAAACTGACTTTGGCTAATAGAAGGTGCTGGAAATGTGGAGGTGTTTTATGTGTTCACTTAGCTCACACTGTGTCAGATTCTGATTAAAAATGTCCAATAGCTAATTTGTCTGTAAAGAAATCAGAATCTGTCATAAAAATCATGATTTGTGCATCCTTAGTCCTCTTAGGCCTGTATCTCAGTTTGACAGCATGCAGTAGAACACTCAAGCCACAATATGAAGGTAACTAGACACACAGTCTCTGACATTCAGCTTGGATACTCTCAACAAAAAAAGATCCAGTGGAGTTGTTTGGCCTACAAATTGAAAATATGTTGATATGAATAATTGAACCGTGATGTCTTTTAGTAACTGCTTTAAGTACAATGGACATAAATGAATGAAAGTGTTAGTTACGTGCAATACATAATGTATTACAATGAAATCCAAATAAACTGAAATGCAATTTTCTTCCATCAACATTTGAGTTTTATGTTGAGGTAACAAAGTCTGCATACACTGACTCGTTTTGACTGAATGGGACTGCATGGCAGAATTGAATTAAGTTCACTTTGAGCATATGTAGAGAGTTATTGCTCCTGAGGTTGAATCATTCATTGATGGTTCTCTATACGCATTTTCCACAAGATTAAAATGTCATTGTGTTCAAAACCCAAAAAACAGCACAACAGCTGCCTTTTACATTACATTTCATGACGAATGGACCAACAGAAATGTTTCAAAATTGCATGCAATAAACTCGTCCATTAAAGTACACTAATGTTGTATTAAAGAACATTTTTCTGCCAACATATTACAACAATGTAGGTTTCTTTAAGCTCACTTACTTTTGGCAGTAATTATGTCATGTGTTATTCATGTGGAACCAATGTTCACACTTGAATGACGTAAATTTAAAGCATTGGTGTTTTTTGAGTGCACGTTTGAATACTCCCTGGCCACTTTATCAGAAACCCCTCCCTTCTAGCTTGTGTTTGTTTGTTTTTGTTTTTTTTTTTTGTTTTGTTTGATATGTGTGCAAATTATCCATAACAGCAGAAGGGCTATTATCTGTACTTATATGCATTTACATTCATATGCAAAGTTTTTACCACCCAGGTCAAATGATGTTTTGTTGGTGAAAATTAGTGCACCATTTCTATTTATTTGCGTATTGGAAAAAATTATACATATAGTATAAAATGTGCCAAAACCTTTACACAGGTCACATTTTATGTTTTATTTTTTCCCAATATGTTTAATTTAGCAAACTGTAATTGTCCATTAAAATGTGCAGGGTGTGTTAACTTATTTTCACTTATTGATTTAACAACAACATGTAATTTGATTGGGGCGCCCAAACTTTTGCATATGACTGCATAGTGGACCTATAAGGTAGATGTTTTAATAAATTGTTGAGTGACTGGAAGTACAAGGTATGTGTTTCTGATAAAGTGGCCAGTGAATATATTGCTGTCAGGACAAAACCTTGTATCTCCATTTTTGTCATTTTGTACTTTTTTACAAAATTTAAAAATGCCAATGTCCTTTTACAACGTGCCCTAATTTATTGGCGAATGGACCAATAGAAAGAAAAATTACTTTAAAAAATTGTTCCATTAACCTCCATTCAAAGTGAAGAGAGTTTTTCCCTTCTACTGTAAAGTTGCCATTTTAGAGATACAATGTTTTGTTCCGACTGCAGCCATATACAGGAATACAGCACAGTATTTGACAAATAAGCTGTCTGCTACTTCCTGTACTTCTCCAGTCAAACACATCTCATTATTGGAGTAAATATATATGAAAGAACTGTAGGTATTAATTCAGACAGTACCGGATTGTATAAACATGAGTCTGCAGAGTTTATTCTATTGCTTCCTACTGTTCATAGTCAGTGGTGTTGAGTAACAGGTCTAACTGCAGCCAGCTCTACTGAGTGACATCAGGCTGACTGGACACAGCGTGCATGTTTTAGTCAAAACCACTCACAGCCAGAAGTGACTGTATCGTAGCTTTGCAGCTAATTGGCCTTGTAACATATGGATCTTGCTGTGACGGTCCTTCATTATATTTAATGAGAGCGTCTGCGTCGTCGAATGTGTGCATTGTAAACAACACATGGTGTAATAAGTAAACAGATTCTGATAGTATGCTCCACTGGTGGGGCAGCATGGTGAGGGGACGCCTGCCAAAACTAAGCTAAAGCTAATATTATTATTCTGTCTAATGCTACGCCAGGGGGATGACAGAATGGGTGCAAAGTGGCATTTATTCTGTTCATTTTTCAATTTTAAATGAAAATAGGAGACACAACTGGGAGACTGCTAGATTCTTTATTGCTGATCTTAGACCACTTCTTTTGAATGATTTTGGCTCAGAATTTGGCTAGAGAAGAGATTTCACACACCCCCAGCTCATAACCAAGTCTCCAAAATTGAATTATGCACTCATTGTAGATGTGACCTAAATTTCGTGCTATTATTTCACTCTCCATGCCCCGCCACAAATGCGCTCCTTTGCTAGGTTGTACAAGCTTTACACGGTGGCAAATTTGTCATTCTTGTTTCAGGCCTGCCTAGTTTTGATTAGTCTCACTGGGGTCTATGGTGGAATTTCTTTTTTTTTTTTTTCGGGAGTGCTGTGAGATTTTCTGGACAGTAGCCTGACCTGTCAGTTGAGACTGTCCAGGCCAGTTGCACTAAAGATGAGCTACACTAGAGCACAGTGCAGCCACATTTATTAATATGCGAACAACACCCCCTCCCCCTGTCCCTCTGCCCCCTAGTCTCCCACACGGTTGGTCTTCTTAAAGGTGCAGTGTTTAAAATTTAGGGGGATCTATCAGCAGAAAAAGAATATAGTGTACAAAACCATGTTTTCATTAGTGTATAATTAGCTGTAACTATGAATTCTTGTTTTCTTTAGCTTAGAATGAGCCTTTCATATCTACATAGAAAACAGGTGCTCTTCCAACATGTTTCTACAGTAGCCCAGAACGGACAAACCAATCCAAACCAAACACTCAGCTGCTGGTGCTAGCTAATTATTTTGTTTTGTGAGTTGTTTGAGAACCCAAATTTTGACAAATGGACAAATATACTTATTATTAGTTCAAGTAGAAGCAAGGGAGGGTGAATATTCATCTTCAAAGGAGTGAAAATAATAGAGATGAGGAAGGGGGATTCAGTTGGTTGCAATCTGCAGCCTCACCACTAGATGCCACTAAATCTTACACACTGCACCTTTAAGGCACCTTCAGGTATACGCGCAATAAACGATATTAGATCAGAGATGTGTGATCATTGGTTTAACTAGGATCTTAAGGGCCTTAGTGCAAAAAAATAAATTAGCCCCACCATATGAACATTACTTTGAAAAAGGACAATGTAATTTGCATGTTTGTACTATTATTCTGTTATTAGATTGCTGCAGCATTGTAATTGAACTTCGGCCCATTTCTCTTGGCAAACTATCTTCATTTCTGAAAGTTAACAAAGCTCAAAATCTATACATTTTCAATGGGATTCATGTCAAGGGATTGGTTAGGCCATTCAAGCACCTTCATCCTTTTAGAAACCAGTCTTGGCTGTATGTTTGGAGTCAGTGTCAGATCCAATGAGAAGTCTCCTCTAATTTCTCCTGTTACATCGCTCCACTCATGTTTCCTTTGATGACATGTGATACCTCAGTAACATTTGCAGAGAAGCAGCCCCATATCATGATGCTCCCACCTTCATACTTCACTGTAGGTCTGGTGTTCTTGGGATCGTAAGTGCAACTCTTCTTTCTCCAAACATGAATAGCTGAATTTTGTCTAAGATTTGCCTAAATGCTCTTGTGCAAATTTTATCTCTGTTCTTCGTTTGTAGCGGAGGAGATTTGCATGGAGTGTAGGAACGGGGCTGAAAGTGGTGCAGTTCATTGTCTATTGTTCTTTGTGTGATTGTTGTTCTTGCTGCTCTCAAGTCTTGCAACTCTTTT